AGCCACTCGTCAAACCTCGGACCGCCATTAGGACAGTTTTTGCTTGGAATGCTCTATTGTTTTTTGACACATTGAGTCTTAGGAAAAATATGTTGAAAAAGTTACCCGGGCTACTGGCTGGGTGCGTACGTACGTACAAAACAAAAGGAGCGCCTTTCCGGTAGTGGCGGCTGCCTTCCTGTCATAATTCCATTTTGTCTGCAGTAAGAGCCACCAGTTTTATTCAGATATTCGTGTACATTCTTGTGCTTCCTTTACATATCTATGAAATGACAATTTTTATCATCACTGAGATATTTCATCATCACTCAACACTGCGATATTTCACGATATACATTGCGTATGTATTATTATTTATATTTTAAGTGTGTTATTTAAGTTAAATATTACGTAAGTTAAATAATGATGAGTTTTGATAAATAAAATAAAAGTTCTCATTTCGTCCGTATTTTTTTTGTTAGTTGTATTCTGATTCAATTTTGATAATTGTTATCATAATTTAAAGAGATTACTGCCTTAAGATTCTAGATACAATTCCGGATAATTATTTTAAATGCAAATATATTCAATATAACATTACATATGTAGAGAATATAATACAAATATATCATATGTTTTTATTATTATTATATCAGCCGTTAACTGTACACTGCTGAATATAGGTCTCCGCCATAGGGAGGGTTTTTCCAGTAGATGCTATGTTTGGCAAGCCGGTTGGCAATCAGCAGTTAAGCTTCATTGGTCAGGCAACATCGGTGTGCTTTATAACAATTGTAATTTTTTTCAAAACTAATTTTTTTATCTGAGAGTATATTAGTAAATTTATAATTAAATTCTATTTTTTTTTAATAAATATAGTGTTAGTACACTTATTAATAAGACTATGACTGGGGAACAATATGAATAATGTACGTTACGTAAACTGAATATTTTGATGTGTAGATAAAAAGGTGTCTAAATCATATATCGAATATAAAATAAAAAAGAAACTGGCTGACCAAGTTGTTAGCGACAAGATAATAGCATATAATAAAATATCTTCGTACTTATTTTAAATATCTTTAGCTTTGTCAATTGTTACAAAGCAAAGGTAGGTACAGTTAGATTAAATAGCGCATTCAGATGTAGCCTAAGTCTAGATCAAAACTCATCTCGGCCATTGGTACGTTCCATTTTGACAATATGTCTTTCTGAAAGTCATTTCCTTCGGGCAATGGCGTCGATCTCTCGATTCACTTTGATGTTCCTATCTATATAGGAATTAAAATCACTTACAAGGCTGGATTTGGTATAATATAGAATAAAGATAGTGTAGTATTTTGAATTTGATCTTTAAATGGTGATAATTATTCGCCTATTTTTGTTAATATTATAATTATAAAAGTGAGTTTATTTGTTTAACTTTTGGTATCTTGACGGCTCTAACAATTATTTTAAATTTTAGTATATATGTCGTATTTGGAATGGCAAAATTCACAAGCTACTTTTACTAAATTTCATTTAAGTTTACCTAATATGTAACAATTTATGCCAATTGTTATAGATTTTTTATGGAATATAGAATGGCAAATAAGCTGACAGCTTACCTTGAGGGGCAATACGGAAAGTATTACTTGACGCCTATAAACTTGAATAGTACCATAAATATAATAGAGTACATTGCTGCCAATATTACCCGTTATGTGTTCCGTAAGTATTAAGGTGTTATGCCACTGTAAATCCTGACTGACATATCATTGACATATCATAGCTGAGCGGAGCTATTGAAGTTATAAAAATCAAATTAACACCTCTTTATATAGAAAACTTTTAATAAAATAAGTATGATTTTTGAAAATTCATCCATTGAAGCAGTGAAAAAGTTTATATGAGAGTCAGACGAATTTTAGTTTCTAAGTTGAATACTTGACAAATTTTCATGACAAAAATTTTCTATTTAGACAGTTAAAAACTTATATTCAAGTAAGCGTTTAAGTATCTATAAAATGAATGCTGTTATTTGTATAATATTTAAAAATAAAACATTAAATAAGAAAGATAACAGCCATGTTTTTTTACACAATGATTGTACGGCAGTAAGAATTAACAGAACAGTTTCATATTTTTTTTATATAACTTAGAACGGTAAACAAGCTGACGGCCTACCTGATAGTAAGTGGTAACCGTCGCCTATAATATATTAGTTTCTTACTAATCAATATTATGATATTTTGAGAGTTATTTGAAAATAATTCTCAAATAATAAAATTTCAACCGTGAAGCAGCTGTATTTGGATGGCTGTGTTTCGGTTTGGAGGGTAGGATATGACGTGAATTTACTGGGTACAGAGGAATAACATCTAAGTCCTCAGGAATGGCAACGCATGGGGGGTATCATGGGCGAAACAGTATACTCTGTTATGTCCATAGTACTGCTCGTGTCTATAGGCGACGGTTACCACTTTCCATCAGGTGGACCGTTAGCTTGTTTGCCATTCTAAGTTGTATAATATATATATATATATATACACTTACTAATGCAATCGTACCTTAATTTTGAGAACACCATTTTAATTTGCCTAAATAGTATACTGTTATAGCTAAAATTATTTTTAGCTCAATAAAAAGTGTACCTAATATTATAATTATTATTTACTTGATATTTCTACAACATTCCTAATACAAACGTCAAACGGTGTCTGTTTGTTCTTTCAATAGAATCTATTTAAAAATACACACTGAGATATTAGGTAAGTATTTAAGTAGGTACTTATTTCACGTTAAGCTTTTTCCATTTATATATTATTTGGAGTAGCACGTATTATGATTTATTTTTATTTTTAGTAAATATGTATAACCAGCAGAAACTGTGGGAATTATTATATTTAGTAACAAGCTATATTACGTGGTTTCACTCACGTAAATCAATATAATTCTTATAGTAGTAAGTTGGATTATAACCTACCCATGTACCAGATTTCATTCAAATTCAGTTTTTGCATGAAACAATAACAACCATCCATCTATATATCGTTACAAACTTTCGTATCGATTAGATACTTATTTATTTACTATATTGTCTTTAGGTATGTCTGTCTTTAAAAAATCTATTATATGTTGGCATAATCTGGTAGCAAAATCGTATAAAAAAGCAACCACAAAGAAATACTTTTTTACAAGATTAAGAGTCGACACTGATCTTATATTTACTAAACTAGAAAACAAGTCTATGAAACCATCTTGATGTGTGAACATAATAAAATAATTGAATATTAATAGTAACTCATCTCCATCCAAAATATTTATATTAATACGTATTATAAAAGACATAGCTGTGTTATGCAGTAAAGTTTTTAAATGCAATTAAATAGTTGCACAGATTTTATTAACGCGGGTTTGAGAGTAATTTCCGTAGTGTCCGCCATTTAAATTTTAAATAATAATGATATTATTAGACAGTAATACTATTTACCTAGATCAAAACAATATATGTAATTTAATTTGGAATGCAATATATATGCGTATATATATTAATTACTCAAGTAAAGATAAAAGAATACCAAACAGTACGGAAGTATTTTGTAATAAGTATCACAAAAAGGAAACGTCTACCTTTTATGCAATACGACTTTATGCGCAAGAAATCTTTTCATTCGACACCAAATTGTTCTTGATTATAGATACGGCCGCAATAGTTGGTATAGAGGTAATATATTATTAGCTTTAGATATTATACTAGTTCTTACACGTGACTTTGTCTGTGTGACTACAATATATTGATTCACTTGAATAAAGAGTAAGGAATGACTTACTTTATTACAAATAATAGTTATATGCTACATTTCATTTACAGAAGTAATCATCTTTTATAAATTATTATATTTAAAACTTCTTTTTTTGTAATATATTTAAACTTAATTTAATGTACAATAAAATTCTATGCCTATTTGGCAGACTTGCTAGAATGGTAGATGAGGCGCGGTGGTGAGGGGCGCAGGAGGAATTATATAAATCTGCGCACAATCAATTTGCTAAATTGGCCGTTCATTTTAATATCTTAGAGTATATTAATGCAGTACTTTCACACACCCTAAAATACTAGACATATTTAAAGGAGCTGAACAATTTTAAAGTTAGACAAACGAATATTGCACCGGTGCAAAGCCGGAGGAGGTCGCTAGTCTAAAATACAGACTAACAATAGACAGACAACTCGAATTTTACTTCGGTACATGTATATCGAGTGTTGAAACCAATATACGATTATTTGTAAATAAATTTAAATATATAATATTTTAATAACCAATTGCATAAATTTCTATTCAAATCCTATATATCATACTGGATAATATTTTTTAAATTAAACTATTGCCACCGTAACTATAAGCACATTTCATAATAAATAGTGCATTGATTTTTTTGTAGCAGTCAGAATCGCTTACATTTGAATTGAATGAAATTTGGTTACAGTAACCGCTTTAGGCGGACCTTATTATTGCATGATTGCCACACCGGTGCTTATAAAATAAAATTACATAACACCTTACAAGTACGTTAAATCAGCAACCATGTCTACGTGCATACGAGAAAGGAATGCATCATCAATAAATGTTTATTTTTTCTTTTTTACTATTTAGAAACTACTCGTAAAGAAGTACATATTCTGATTTATTCTAATAGAAATAAATACATTCGAAAAATTATAAATATCCTAGCACTGCGATTTTCAAGTATACTTCAGATAAGAAATTTCATCTTTATTATTGTGTAATTGCCATAACATAAAAATTATGTTAATTAGTACTTTTAAAACTGACTGTTAGAACATAAAAACAAGTACACTCAAATTTCCCACACTCTCCCTTTTTACTTAACCTGTCAGCGAACGCGGCCAATCAGAACTGCCCAAAATGACAACATTCGAGAAAAAACAAAAATCATCGATTGCGATCGTTTCGCGCGTTCTCATTAAAATAATTATAATTAAGATGCTTTAGTTAGGCATTCATCCAATTTTGTAGCTAAAAGTGAACCTAGGACGATCGACAACCCGTACACTTGTGGGCAGCTCCAGGCAGACTACAACAAGAATATTCCGTAAGTCCTTACTTTTCTACAACTTATCTGTACTTGTTCATTTGTGCCGGTATTTTACAGCAGTAATAAAGCCCTATTTTAAGTTTCTACAGTCCACTTAAATCAATTTTCATACCATTTTCTTGGTTCATCGAACCGAATTTCTAAATTCGAACCATTTTGTTACTTTGTAAAAGTTTGTCGTCCATATTTTGTTCACAATAGCCATCAGCATTTTACAACAAATCATGTATTTATCATTTGTATTTGACCATAAAACATACATAACACATCATTATTCATTGTTTCCCATAATCTGAATTAGTTTTATTTGTAAACTATTCAAGAAATTGCAATTTTCATCCACGTGGGAAAGTCCATTATTTTGAATAAAACGAGTAGGTATTAGGTATGTTTCTCGAATCAAACCGCACTCGGCCACCACCGCTAGGGTCCCTATTCTCAACATTGTTTTGTTTTCGTACGGTAACTTTGACCTACATTTAATTATCTTTTCGGGTGTTGTTTTAATGTGTTGATGTAACATATTGGATTTTGAGTGTAACATACACAACAAAATTATTTTTTATCATATCTTTATTTTTAAGGTTTAGTGTGACATATGACACTAATTCCTATCAATCAATATCGTGGTGTTAACGCAATATATTTACAACGTATCTTTCGTATTGTTTGTTTATATCATTAGGGATCACTTGCTTTATTCATCGTTTTTTGGCGTAATATATAGCGCTTTGTATCAATAAATAACGTTTAACATAAGTTATTTCATCATAAACATAACAATTTATATTCAGTTGGTTCATTTCAGAACATTGTTTGTCAACAATTATCATGTAACAATTTAATCTATTTAATTTTGGTGATAAATATCGAACAATCGATTTATCGTATTCCCATCGCCTATGCGGATACCAGAATAGCACCCCGTGTGTATCAAGTACATCGTGGAATTGTGCAGTCGTGCAAAAAAGTTGTAGAACTGTAAGTGTTTTTTTTTTTTTTGATGGCCGAAAATGGTATGGCAACCCCACCTGCGCTAACGGGATACGCTGGCGGAGCACCAGTGAAGGGTGATAGATGAGAATGAAAACAGGTCAGTTAGCCCATCATGATGAATTCATCAGGAATTAACCATAATAGTTTCCAGGGGAAACCGCGAGGAGGTCGACCTGTTTGGGTATATTGCTAGCAATAGGATTCTCAGTGTCCATTACTAACAATCCCTTTCTCCCCGAACTTTAAGTGTTGTCATATTATCGTGCAAACATCTTCTACTAATTGGTAGTTTTTTAATTTGTTTCGGAAATCTTTTTGGAAAAAATAATAGTTTGTCAAAATATTGTTGTATAGCATATATAAAACATTTCATGGTTTATTTGCGCGATATTTACCAGTAAAATTTTATTCGAACAGATTTTTAAGTTTTTTCATTTAACAAATATTTTTTATTCAACTTAGCCTACAAGTGATTAGAAGATGCTGTGACTTGCATATAGAAGTGTATACAGGATTCTTCTGTTTTGCCACGTTTCGAAACTTGTTCACGTCTAGGTCTTGTTATTTTAGATTCATTTAATGAGGCTCACATCAATGTAATTACGGAATTAAAGAATTCTAAAGTTACTGAAGAGAGAATTGGACAGGAAACCGTATATCAAGAACAAGCAGATGATATGTACTTTGAGATTTTGGAGACTAAACGCAAATTACTGCCTGAGAATAAACCTTAACCTAAATGTACACCCAGTCAGTCTGATACAAAACAAAATAGCAAGCTTCCTCCGATCAGGTTGCCGATCAGGTTGTTTTTCAGGGGATTTTAAGGATTTTCCAGGATATATAAATTTATTTAACACTTACTACATGCTAGCACCACTAGGTACATACTAGGACCGATTTATGAAATGTTGAGAAGTTTTAATATCTTCAAACATCTCTGTCCGAGGAACCTGTCTGTATCATTCGAGCGTACCTTATTTCTAAGGTCAATTATTTGAGTGCATACTCTGTGTTAGTGAAAAGATATGATAACAAGAAGTATTTAGCATTCATGTGTTGGGAACAAATCGATAATTTAAAATCTATGAATAGTGGATCTTCTGTACAGATGCGAAATTTATTGGATACATTCAATGAAAATCTATCGATGCTCCATGGTTTAGGACTTCCCCACTCATAATTGGGATTTTGTATTATTTCATTCTCTTTTAACAAAATTAGATAAATGTTCACGAGAAGCTTTTGAGCTTTCATGTAAAAGTGATGTATTTCCTAGTTATCAAGAATTAAAATCTTTCATTGAGGAAAGACGTAATGCCTTGGAGCGTTCATCGGTTGCTAATTCAAACATTGATATTCCAAGTTCTAGTTAAATTCTAAATCGGTCACTACCTAAACAAACTTCATTAAAGCCTCCATCTACTGTTTCTAGCGCAAGCATCATTTTTTTTAAAAGGCACACATAATAGTAGTTTATAAATACAAACTTAAATTATAACATGCAAGTATATTAATGTATTGATCAGGTAATCTTGCCACAACATGTGCACACACCATGATCCAATAATAAATGCGACTGCAACATAGGCTTTTCACTAATAGTTGCAACCGAATGGTTGCAGCTATTCATCACATCATTCTTTTCGACAGGAACCGCTGCGAGCGTAGATCTTTGAGGTAAGCCACAGAACTCAGTATTTGCTCTGCTCGGACTTATATTCCATAATTTTCCATTTATAGTCATGATATGTAATGTTACAAATGTTAGATTAAAAAATACTTTCTAGAGACATAACCAGTTTTAAAGACTCGAAAGCAAAAAAAGCACACCGAAATTAATTCATTGATATTAAATAATCTTATATTAAATCATTATCATCATATCAACTTTTAACTGTCCACTACTGAACATAAGCCTCCCCCTGAGGGGATTTTGTTAGTAGTTGCCATGCTTGGCAGGCGGATTGGCAACCGCAGTCCGGCTTTAGAGATATTTTAAGACACTGCTGCCCATCTCTCGCCCTCTCTTAGTCGTCTCTTACGACACCCACGGGAAAGGAAGGAGTGATCTATTCTATACCGGGACCACACAGAAATCACGAGAATTTAATTAATAATGAATTTACTTTTTCAAAGACTTGTGCAGTATAAACGAATAAACATCTTTATGTTCTATTATTTTTTGATACTATGTAATAACATTTACTTTTATTCACAGAGAAAAGATGGCGTTCTTCACACGCAGCAAGGCAACCATTCCCGTGCTTCCAGGTGAAGAGGCTGATGAGATATCGGAAGATGACTGGGAAGAAGAGGATTTAGAAAGGAGAACACCAGACGGTCGGTCATCAAAGACGTCGTTTGAACGCCGCGAACAGCGCTGCAGTGAGACTCAACCCCAATACGCTGCGGAGTCAGAATCCAAAGAAGTGGTGGAATGCAAGAACCTCTACCTGAACCCAGAACCGTGCTACGAGAATCTGCCAATTATCAGTAATAACATCGACGGTACAAAAACGTAATAAGAGAGCGAAACCAAGACTGAAGAGGTGAGGTCGCATGTGGCATTAGTTGTATTTTATACCATGTATTATTATGAACATATATTTACTCTTCGAATAGTGCTATATTTAGTAAATAGATGGCGCTTTTAAAATTTAGATTGCCATATAATGTTATTCAAAGAAAAATTATAAATATCCTAGCACTGCGATTTTCAAGTATACTTCAGATAAGAAATTTCATCTTTATTATTGTGTAATTGCCATAACATAAAAATTATGTTAATTAGTACCTTTTAAAACTGACTGTTAGAACATAAAAACAAGTACACTCAAATTTCCCACACTCTCCCTTTTTACTTAACCTGTCAGCGAACGCGGCCAATCAGAACTGCCCAAAATGACAACATTCGAGAAAAAACAAAAATCATCGATGGCGGCCGTTTCGCGCGTTCACCTTAAAATAATCATAATTAAGGTGCTTTAGTTAGGCATTCATCCAATTTTGTTGCTAAAAGTGAACTTAGGACGATCGACAACCCGTATACTTGTGGGCAGCTCCAGGCAGACTACAACAAGAATATTCCGTAAGTCCTTACCTTTCTACATCTTGTCTGTACTTGTTCACTTGTGCTGGTATTTTACACCAGTAATAAAGCCCTATTTTAAGTTTCTACAGTCCACTTAAATCAATTTTCATACCACTGACTTTGGGGATATTCTTTTAATATCGATATATCGAATTTACTCGACGATATATCAGATTGATAAGATGTTTTCATATTTTTTTTATTTATTTAATTTCAGTATATTCGTATTGTAATAACATCGGATGATGTATTCCGTATGAATTATGTACAATAAAGATTTTACAATACAGTACTATTGTATTGTATCGAATCTATTAAAAAAATCTGACTTATAATAAAAACAAAAGTAATTATTAATATTATTTCATGATTTAAATCTATACTATTTATACTCTGTACTAATACTAATAATATTATAAAGAGATAAATTTGTGAGTTTGGATGTTCGGGGTAATTTCTGATACTATTGATCTGATTTTGAAAATTTCTTCACTGTTAGAAAGGTACATTATTCTTGAGTGCATAAGGTTGCTTCTTATTTTGGTGAATATATATTTTTCAATAATTAATCCCAATAAACGTAATTGAAGTCCGCAGAAATATTATAATATGGCGCGCGCTGCCTGAACGGTTTGAAATAAAGGAATAAAACCTATAATAAATTAAATTACTTACATTTAGCTTTACATAAAAACTTTGCGACACCGTATATCTAAGTTTAATATTTCAGCCAAAAATTGATTTTATGGTGTATGTTAAAAGTAAAATAAATTTTACAATATCAAGTTTGGATACAGGTTTGAGATATATTTTTCAAAGTCTTATAAAAATTAATAGCTATATCAAAATAGAATTCTTATGGAGATACAGTTTACTTTTTACAATATGTTGATTGATGCAATTGGTCAAAAGATAATGTGAATTAAAACAAAAGCCGGTAGACGAGGTGCAGAGGTGAGAGGCACAGGAGGAACTATATAAACGCATGCAAATTTTACACAGTTACAAAAAAAAAATTGTTAAATAGGCCATTCATTTTAAAAACTTAGTGTATCGTCCTAAGCGGCGCTTCAATCGATCGATTATTCGATTTTTAATCGAATATACACCTCGTGGATATGAAGCGATTACGTTATTATTAAGTTGGAGGGCAGTTAGTGAATTCGTCCTTGCACTCGGCTTGAGATCACATACCGTCGCGAATCAAGAGCATATAACCTAACAGTGAACTAAGAGATTTTCATATTAAAGATCAAATATTGTATATTTAAAGATATTTGTGTATTCCTACCAATCAAGAATCTATAACAGCATCCAGTCAAAGGTGGAAAGCAGTGCGGCGCATGAGATTCCTTCAATTAAGTGCACGTACCTTCTTAAATATTGTAATCGCTTCATCCTCATTATCAGAAGTAAGGACAAACGTATTTCCACCATTTAACGGTGTCCCTACACTTAGATAATATTAACGCAGTACTTTTACACAAAATTTTAGTTTTAATAGAATTAAAATGTATATTGAACGGTTTATAAGTCACCCAATCAAATATTGCACCCGTGCAAAGCCTGGGCGAGTCGCTGGTTATAATATTAGTAAGTTTTAGTAACGATATATTGATTACTGTATGAGACTAGTTCTTACAGAAAATTAAGTTTTACCTGCGACTTTGTCCGGGTGAGCGTCATATATGTTCACTGATCGGGATAAAAAGTAGTCTATGACCTTTTTAATCTTTTATGGTACGTGTAAACCTGTATACATAATTTCGTAGTGATTAGTTAAGATTATTAAGGTGCTAAAAGGTAATAAACAAATAAACTCACTATTACATTTTAAATATCAGCAAAAGGATATTATTTAAATTTATCATTCAAATAAAGAACAGAATAAAACACTGTTGTTGTGAATGTAACTGGGTCCGTAACACAAAACGAAGGTGTATATTTATGTAGACGTTGTTGTAGCCAGCGGTCACCAAGTTCAGCAGAAATGTGCTAAAATCTTTTTTCGTCATCGAAACGCAAGAAAGGCACCGAGCCGACTGTTGGAGAGTGTTTTTTCCCGGAGATGTCATAAATCAGAAGGCGGCAGATGGTGTTGACCTGCACCATTATAGCCATGTTTCTAGCTGAGAATTATTATTGCTCTCGTTTCTAGACGTCGTTTTCAAATAATTCTTTAGAATTCCAACATAAAGTGGACGGTTGCGTTGTGGTCAACTGCTTTGAACGTTAATAAGTTTTTTTTAATTTCAATATTGAGTTGGATTTAAAGATGAAGAGGAAGATTACTATTGTAATAATATATAAATGAGTCAAATATTTCCTTTTGAATAAATCAGTGATTTCAATAGTGACACTAGATTAAAAATATTTGAATTTTGTACATAGGGTCGTATATATGTAAGGACAAGTAGATTTTACATAGAGTTGCCAGCATCAATTTTCACAACGTTGGCTAATATGAGATCGTTATGGGTATAAATGGATTAAGGGAACTTATTAGTCGAGGGATGAAAAGTCTACCTACCGGGAATAAATGACCCCCAGTTTTAAGACACGAGAGTGTTTCCCTGTAGATTACTCCCCTATAGACTACCTTTATGGTAGCCTATGTTCAGTAGTGGAGAGTTAACCGCTGATATGATGATAATGGATATAAATCCTGTCGCTTGTAATGAGATTAATACAAAGAGGTTCAGAATTGGCGACGTAACATGCACAAAAGAATTATTTTACCTTTGAAAATCACATAAAATTAGGTTTTTTTTAATGGATGATAATGAAATGGTAAATTTGCCTGCGCTATCGGTATAATCCGGCGGGACACCAGTGAGGGATGATAAGTGAAAATGAAAGAGCAGGCCAGTTAGCCCATCGTGAAATATATATAGCGACTTTAACATTAACACATGGAAATTTAATATTTGCATGTGGTTGGAAATAAATAAAATTTAATATATCAACAAAACACCGTGCTTATGAAAAAAAGCTGCATTTATTTGTTGTGCGAGTTGTCGACAAAATTTGTGTTTTTCTTGTTTTTATGATAAATATCATCCAGGTTTGTGTATTCGTAAAGATGAATGATTGAAAGAATAGCTAATGCTATAAACATATAATCATAAATATTCATTGTATTTAATAATATACTATTTTATAAAAAATAAATGGTAATGTTTAAAAGAACTGTGGCAATACAAAAATTTATTCTGTCTACAGTTCTAAGTTCTAATTGTTAAAAAGTTAGAAATAATTAAATTCGCGATTTAACAATGTATA